CCAGATGGATACATGTAATGATGGGATAATGAACCACTTCCAGTGGTAAAAATAGTCTAATTTTCAAGTTTTCAGGTCATCAAGAGCGTTGATTAGAAACATTTAATATCAATGAAAAGAGAGAAAGATTTAAACAGAAACCCACCATTTTGGTTTTGTCAGTGCAGGACATGAATCTATCTTTGCTGATCTCTGAACCTGTAAGTCACTTTAGTGCAGCTCCTAAATGTTTTACAGAGAGAGTGAAGGAGAGGAACTTCCTGCAGTTGCAATAATAAATGCTCCGTTTGTCTTTGTTTTTGTGCCTAGGATGGGAGGCAGTCCAAAAAATGAAGGAGTCATTGGTCTTTGCCATGTCTTGCTGGTGCTTATAATTAACAATCTGCTGTTCTTTAACTGATTGAATCTTGTTGCTTTCTGAATCTGAGAAATACATTTGACATATTTATCATGCTGGGATGTGTAATATGTTTCAATATTATAAAAACATGTAAAATTAACATGTTATTAGATATTATTTTGAGCTTGGTTTACAATTTAGGCAATCCTTTTATATAATTTTAATATTGTTTAATACGTGATCGTTTGATATAAAGAAGAGTATTTATTCACTCTTCAAGATCATTCAGTTCAGGTATTTCAGTCACTCTCATGGACTTAGGCAAGCTGTCTGCTTGAATAAAAAAAAATTTAGCATAGCTCTTAGGGACTCTTTATTCAGGATGTTTCCATGATAGGAAGTCACCTGTGCAGTCCAAGTATGACACTGTCCAACTGTCCACCAGGGGTATTTTATTAAAGCTTAGGTAACAGGTTGAGGGCCATTGTGCACAAAGGATTGGTACAGATCTCTAAAACAGGGTTTGTCTTAACCCTGATCCTCAGGGCCCACTGCCCTTCCTGTTTTAGTTGTTTCCCTGCCTCAGCACACCTGACCTGTACAAAAAGGTGATCAATATGCTTTTGTAGCTTTTGATAGATGCCAAGGAGGTAATTCAATGGAAAACATGAATGACAGTGAACCCTGATGACTAAACTTCAAATGGCTTTAAGATGAACTCAAAAACATGGAATGGACCAAGTATCCCAGCCTAAAATCATCAAGTGCAATGCTTAGTTCTAGCAAAGAAATGTCAAATTATGCCTGACCTTATGAATGTACATTTTTTTAAAGAATTGTTATTTTAAAAAATCGATAGAAACAGCTTTTACGAAAGATTGAAAGCTTTATATGTGGTGGACTGGAATTATTATTTCCAAAAATCCTGTTTATTAAGAATGGGATGTCACTCAGTCTTACGTTTTGTCAAGACATGGTGCAATATAGGATAGTTATGTTCAGTAGAGTTAGTTACTGGTTAAAAACCAGGTTCAATTGTAAAGCACTTAAATTGTAAAACATGGTTAAAAATTAAGCCATATTAAAGAGAAGGAGATGAACAAGTTGTTTTTTAGGATAACCTCATGACTCTAAAGAGCAAGGAACATTCTTCCTGAAAAATGTTTTTCCCAAACCATATTCCTCCTTTATGTTTGCTCCGTAAAACCTGATTGATTACTGACCTAAGCGCTTGTTATAATTGACAAATACAACTTAAATCAATAGTTCTGTACCTTCAAGATTTGATCGAACACAGAAAGTTTTGATTTGTTTCATGTTTCCCTTTCCCCTCTGATTCTCAGAAGAAGCATCATTTGGAGAAAGCTAAAACCTCCAGGCTAATCCTCTCACAAGATAAAGAGGCTGAAGCACAGTCTGAGCGTTGTGCAGGAGCGTGCGTATAGAGCACATAGTGTCAGGGTAACCAGGCAGTGCAGCTGGCCTTTCACAAGCATGCAACTTTAAGGGAGTGTGTAAATCAGGATTCAGAGGACAAGGACTCTGTTTTCCAACACAAACAAACATGCACTATGGCTGGAGAAAATGAAGCTGAGTGAATTAACAATTGTTGAAATAGAGTCTTCAGTTTAAGACTATAATTATCCATTTGTTTCCTGTAAGAGTACATGATAAAAAAAAAACAATCACTACAATTATTTTTACTCTTACAGGAAAATACAGATATCATTCAACAAAGCATTTGGCTGCTTTCCTGTTTATGACAAACAACTTTGAACAACTTCAGTCTATTTTCTACCGCTTAGTTCTTCTCAGGGTCGTGGTGGGGGCCGCTAATCTACAGGCGAGAGGCAGGGTAAATCCACTCCATCGGAGGGCAACGCAGAGACACAAAGGACAAATAACCATTGTCACACACACCTAAGGAGAATTTAGAGAAGCCAATGAATCTAATTATCATGTTTTGGGATTGTCGGAGGAAGCCAGAGTACCCACAGAGAACCCATGCATGCACAGGAAGAACAGGCAAACTCCATGCAGAAAGACCATGAGCGGGAATTGATCCTGAACCTTCTTGCTGCAATGCAGCCGCGCCACCCACTGTACCACTGTTTAGCCCACTTTCAACAACTTTTCAAATCAAACTGTCCTATTCTTGTCCTAAATTAATTGAACTAACACTATCTTCCTGATGTGCCCCATCTATAATAATAATGGTAAGTCACTGATTCAGGTATAAACTGTTCCAAAACCAGGACTGTGAGAGAGCAACTCACAGAAATGACGATTCAAAAGTAAAGCAGAAAAACATCCTGGGAAGTTAAGTGTTTCTGGCCCCAAACCCTCTCCACAGCATTCCTATCATATGCAGAGCTGCGTATTTTTGTATGAATGTGGAAAGAGCTGGTATGCGGACAGAGCTATTATGGAGCTACTTATGGGACGTTTGGATTAACACAATCAGATCTCTTTCTAAAACTCCCACCTCCTACAGTGTTTTGGATTACAGTACTTTATTAGAGCTTGATCTGACGCTTAAACTGTAAAACTGATTCTCGGTTGCTTGTTTAATCCAATTATTCGGTATCAGTTTGAAAAAAAAACAAAAGAAATGGCATTAGGTAAAGATTTGTTAAACAAAATATATGTAATGAATGTGGGCTGCACAGTAGCGCAGGTTGTAGCACTTTTGCCTTGCAGCAACAAGCTTCCGGGTTTGATTCCTGGCCCAAAGTCTTACTGCATGGAATTTGCGTGTTCTCTCTGTGTACAATGGCTTCCTCCCACAGTCCAAAAACATGACTGTTGGGTTGACTGGATTCTCTAAATCGTCCTTATGTTAGACAGTGTGTGTGCATGGTTGCATGTCATGTTTGCCCCGCGACAGACTGGTGACCTGTCCAGGCTGTACCCCACCTTTTGCCCATAGACTGCTGGAGATCAGAGATGGCAAAAGTACTCACTTTCCGTACTTGAGTAAAAGTACAGATACTTGTGTTAAAAAATACTCTGGTAAAAGTGGAAGTACTGATTAAACTTCTTTACTCAAGTAAAAGTAACAAAGTACAGGCTTGTAAATTTACTTAAAGTATAAAAGGAAAAGTAGAAACCACTTTTTTCATGCCGTTGCCTACATTTTAAATGGATGTCTGCAAATAGGACTAGATCTCCGTTGTGTTCATTTTCAATCATCTCCTCGTCCATACTACTATGCTAACGCCACCGCCACCAAGCTGCAATGATTTGCCGCGAATGAATACCGCCAAATCTGTCGATTCATCTTGTAGTGGTGCGTCAAATGCAACGTAGATTCCCATCCAATTAGATTGAATTTGGTATTGATGACGTGAAAAATAATAACGGTAACTCCATTGAAATGATTCAAAACTAAAGTAACGAGCAGATTTTTAAAAATATAAGGAGTAGAAAGTACAGATATTTGTTTAAAAATGTAAGGAGTAGAAGTAAAAATTCGCCATAAAAATAAGTAGTAAAGTAAAAATATCAGAAAAATCTACTTGAGCACAGTAACGAAGTATTTGTACTTCGTTACTTCCCATCTCTGCTGGAGATAGAAACTGGCCCCACTGCGACTCTGAGGGAATTGGCGGGAGTGGATGGATGGACGGATGAACACTAAAAGTTGCATGATATAGTGGATGAATAAAAGCCAAATAAGAAAAAATTTATATATATATATATATATATATATATATATATATATATATATATATATATATATATATATATATATATATATATATATATATATATGTTTGTGTGTAGCATCTCCACCTGTTTGTCTATAAGTAAGGCAGTTACAACGCATTAATCCATGCCCCCAGGTTGTGAAACCGACTCAAAATGTCCTAAGCCAGAGGAAAGTGATCCTTTTTTTTTTTTTTTTTGTACTCCATGCTGCATCAAAACCTTTGATCCCCCAACACCCCTCCCCATCCTAGCCTCCTCATTCTTTTCTCTTCTCCTACATGCATTCCTGCCCCTCCCCCCTACTTGAGTTTTCCCTTCCCCAGTTTGGTTCTGTGAAGTGTTGGTGAAGTGTGCAGCCGGAATATTGAGCACTAGCAACAAGGAATGGTGATTTGAACAAAGTAAAAAAAGATACTGTTTTACTGAAAATTCTAATTTTCATTTAAGAATGGAGAAAAAACATTTTTTTGCTTGTTTTTCTCATGCAAGGGCCAAAAACCTTCCATCAACCACAACCCTGACAGTTAGTTAAGATGTGAATAATCACCTTAACTCCAATCTATTCAGGCATTTTTAAGCCACAGTGACAGCGACAGTCGACCTGCTTTAAATTACTTGAGCCATCAAATCAGAAGATGCTTTTCAAAGCCAAGATGCAACACTGGTAGGTTATAGGAGCTCATTACTGTTCAATAGCCAAAATAGCAAACAAGTAAAAAATAAAACATAATTGGGGGAAATTTTGTATGGGCCTTAAAGTCCTCCTTATAATTTTATGATTAATAGCATAAAAAATGCTTTCACAATTTGTCACAGTTCTGATGACCTGGAAAGAAAATATGTCATTTCCTAAATTGAATACCGTATATCGGGTCTGTTATTTTATCAGAATGATTAGTTTTAAACCAGGTGCTTGACGTTAATAAAAGTCATAAAATGAAAATGGAGGTCACTGTGGACTACAACAATCTCTTTTTATTTTCTATTCTGAACAATCATTTTAAAATGAACAGTCCTTACAATTACAATTATTATAAAAGGCCGAAACATTAATGTCGCTTCATATAGCAATAGAAAGGATATATGAAAGTTTAAATTTAAGAATATGCTACGAACCAACGCTTTTTGAGCTACCCAGATTGCAGTATTTATCAAACACTCAGATTTATTCATTCATTCATTGATACCATATTTCCTGTTATTTAGCCATGCTGTCCAGCTCCACTGTCCGTCCACATCAGCTCATGTATTTTTGTTGTACTCTCATCTTCCTGGCAACATGTTTGTCACTCAGCATCAAGTGTTTGATTTTCAATTTTTTTGGCAGTCCAAAAGGAAAAAAAAAGCTTTTTTTTTCCTGAGTTCCTCATCAAGAAAGCGCAGTGGTTTCAAAAAGCCCAGCTGTCTATGATTTCTTTCCCCATCGAACAACCCCTCAGTGATGTAACAGAGGGCTTTCATTTAGACCGCCTGGGTGACCTCGGTGCTGAGACCCTCCACTGTGTCAGGAACTTCCTGGACGTCACCGCACAGGTTAATGTCCTTTTTCAGTTCACAATCAACATTCTCATCGACAGGCCTCTCCTCTAAATTTTCGTTTCCATTCACACATTCTTCTGCATGTGCGGCCAGGCCATCAGTATTATTGCTGCACTCCCCGTTCACTGCCCTGACTGCATCTACCTCATTCTCAGCGGAGGAAGGGCTTCCTAAATCTCCGTTTTCCATCTTGTTTTCCATCTCGGGCTCTGGGTTGGGCACCTCTTCCAAGGAGGCTTCAGCTCCATTATCAGATTCAGCCATCATGTTGTTGGTGGATGCAGACTGTGAGATGATAATCTCAGGTACAGGTTCTGCAGCTTCTGACTCAGTTGCATCATTGGAGCCTGGGGCTTCTGCTGATACAGATTCTTCTTCTGCATGGTGATTTTCAGCAGCTGCCAAAGCCTCAGATGATTCAGCTTCAACAGTCTCACATTCAGCAGTGTCAGACACAGCCACAGTTTCTTGCTCTGTTGTCTCTTTTGGTTCTGGTTCTGCTGTTTGGTCTGGTTCAGGTTCTGATATGGGTTCTCCCACAGACTCTGGCTCTGTTGCTTGAACTGTGTCTTGCTCAGGTTCCGCCTGTGCGGTTTGCTCTTGTTGGGATGCTAACTCCTCCGCTAGCTCTGCTGCTGGCTCAGCCTCTGGTTCAGGTTCCGGCGCAGCAGCAGCAGATTCGGTTTCTTCCACACTGGCCTCTGGCTCTGTCGCAGTCTCTTTTAGGGGCTCAATTAGCTGATCATCAGATGCTGCCTCTGTGCTGACTGAAGCATCTGGCTCTGGCGCTGACTCTACAGCGACAGGAGGCTCCTCCACTAAGGGCTCTTCAGGTTCAGCTTGCACAGGTTCTGCAAATGGTGGAGGAGATGATTCTTCTGCAGTCACTGGTGGCTTCTCTGTTTCCACAGCTAGGGCAGTTTCAGCTACAACTCTCTCCTCTGGTTCAGGTTCTGATTTCTCTGTAGCTACAACTGGCTCTTGTTCTGTCAAAGCAGCGGCCTGGGTTGGTGCTGCTGGTTCTTCTAAAGGAGCTTCTTTCTCTTGCTCTGCAGCTGATACTTTTTCAACTAGAGATGCTTCCACTGCTGTTAATGTTTGCTCAATAGCAGCTTGTTCTTGTGGTGGAGCAGATTTTGGCTCTTCTGGGGGTATGTCAGCCACTGGAGATGCTTTCTCTGGTGCCTCTTCATTGTCCTCTCTCACAAGTGCTTCTGTCTCTGCTGCTACAACTGGTTCCTGCACAGGTGGAGTTGTTTCCACTGGTGCAACAGCTGCCTCTTCTTTTACTTCTGTTTTAGTCTCCGGGGCATCCTTCCCTTCAGCTCCGGGGGGTTGTTCCTCTGTATGTGCAGCTTTTGGTTCTTCTGGGGGTACAGCAGCCTCAGTTACCACAGCTTCTGCTGACACTGTAGTTTTCTCTACCACAGCATCTTTCCCAGCAGTCCCCTCAGCTCCTATAGATGGAGCTCCATCTTCCACTTTAGCAGACTCTTCTGCAGCGGCACCATTTACCCGAGTCTCTTCTTTTCTGTCTTTAGGGTCGCTCACATCATATCCTTTCTTCTTCTTGCTCAGTTTTCCTCCCATGGTGACTCCTATAAGAAAACAGGAAAAAATAGTTTTAATTCTAAGACTCATATCAGCATTTTACAGTAGCCATCAGTAAAAGTAGCCATCAGTAAAAAAATAAATTGAGCAACCCACATCTTATAAAATGCACCAAAATAGAAAATGAAAATATACTGCACATGTAACATAAAATAAGATGAAGAGAGATCAAATTAAAGTAACATTTCCTCTTTTTACTTAAAATGATGACTAAGGTTCTTCAAATATGAAGAGTCTTTTTCAATTCAGTATCAACATGTCTTGTCTGGAAAAGAACGAGAAGTTCAACTAAGAAGCAGGTCTCTGCCTAAGACAGTCGATGTGAAATATAAATATTAATTCATGGGAACCCAATAGAGGTCATACAGAGACTAGAGTCTCTGTAACCTTTCTGGAATGTCTGGTGAGGCTTGTTGCCAAAAAAGACTACAACTCTGAGACAAACATCTATGGTCTACACCCACATAGGATTTCCCATCCAGGAAAAAATGCAGAAAATATATTTACTGCTTGATGGGTCTTTCAGATCTCGGTAGATCTTGAAAAGATCTTCTGCATGAGAGGTAGAGCACTACTTTTTAAACAGGCGCAAAAATAAAGGTTATTTGAATTAAGGGCTCGACATTAATGGTCCTCTAGAGGAAGTGCATTGCAGTGATTGCCACAGAATGCAGCAATCACTCCACAGAAAACAGGAAGTTTAAATTTGTGTTAAGTATATTCTTTTAGCAAATGTTAAATAAGCAAGTCTGGATTTTAAATAAACTAAAAATTGGGGTTCATAAGGGCAGCAGTAGTTTGACATCTTTAAGTTTCCTATGTTTCAAAGGCTCTTAAAGTCAATATGTTAGAAACTGGATAGGAGGGGGTAGAATAAATAGGGAACTGTCCATAGTACTATAATAAAGCTAAACTGAACTGGGAATAACCAGTACATCATTTCATTTGAATGAAAACCATTAGATCAATGTAACAGTTAGTTTATGGTTAAAGTCCTTCAGTGCCATAGATGTTTCTTTATTTCCTCGTTCTCGGGTGTCGCTAGTTATTTAAACAATGCAGTTAAAGGGAAATCATTTCCTCTCACAGTTTTTCTGTCCTTTAATTTCAAGGGAGGTTTGACAAATTTTGGACACTGAATTCAAAATGTAGTCTCAGTTCAGGAAAGATGGTCACATGCAAATGCAAATGGAGCCTCAGGCAGTCCATGCCGGCCGGTAACAAAGGATGAGACCCCCTCCCCGCCCCTATGGCTGCTCCCACTTACAAGGCATCTAGCAGGGGGAAAAAAGAGCACATTACACTACCATATATAGACTGCAGGAGGTATAGATGGCGTTGAATTAATATGTACACTAGCCAAAAAAAAAAAAAGAAAATGCAGGAGCCTTTAAAGCTGTAATAGAGAGTCCTCCATCCCCCCACAGCCCACCCACTCCACTCCACCCACCACTGCTCCCTTCAGCTGCTTTGCCCCTTTTTTTTTTCTTTTGTTAACAAGGGTTTGGAAATGAGGAGAAGCCTATAAATAATGAACTCTATTATCATGTCAACTTTTGATTGAGGCTGGCTTTATTTGTAGATTTGATTACAAATTTGAACAGAGAAGGCAAACCAAAACTGAGACTGAGAAAAAACAATTAGACTACTGTAAAAATCTGCTTTTCTTTCTTTCTTTCTTTCTTTCTTTCTTTCTTTCTTTCTTTCTTTCTTTCTTTCTTTCTTTCTTTCTTTCTGTCACTACAAAAAGCTCCTGTTTTGCAGTGACTAACCTGTTTCTTTTGTTGCAGAATCAGTTGAGCGTCCTGTCCAGTCCGCTGTTAGATGTGATAATGGAGGTAAGCCTTTGGAGTGACAGCTGCAGATTCCGCCCCTCGCTCCTTCTCTCTGAGGTGCAGTGCGCTCCGGAGGAGGAGTGCCCCCTTTCGCAGTTTTCTGGACATCTGTCACTATCACAATCCAGCCAACCCCAGGACTGCTCGCATTGCAATCTATACCTCCCAGTCTTTAACCCCTCCTCTGCTCCCCCTCCCTCTCTTCCACTCACTCACACACCCACCCAGTGCAGCACATGGTTCCCCTTTTTGAACAAACAGGGGAGATTTTAAACTTACCATCCATTTTCTCTTTTTTTATTTTTTACAACTGTATATTTTTTTTAACCTTTATATCTTTTAGCTTTTCAAAGCATAAAGTACCTCGGAAATTATATTTGCTGTAAATCCCCAAGTATTTCTGACTGTAATGTACCTAAATTATGCATAAGAGGCGGTTTGTCAGGAAAAACCCATGAGGACTTTACCAGACAAAACACCCACTATGTAAATTATACTTCCCCTGATGTTTTCTCTCTTGTCCTGTGTAAAATAAGTGACTTCATGATGAGAAAAACAAGATGTTTATGGATGTCCAAATTAAAGGATAAAGCAAACAAATTTGACCTGATTTAAAATGAATTTTATTTATGCGTTTTAAAGGCAAGGCAGGGCAAGGCAAATTTATTTCTATAGCACAATTCAGTACAAAGACAATGCAAAGTGCTTTACATGACTAAAATACAGGAAAATAAAACAGAAAAAAGTAGAAAAAAATAAAATAAAAAATGGAGAAACAAAAAAGAACATTAAACACAGTTGGACTAAATAAAATAAGAAAGTTGAACTAATGATGTTTTAGTTGAACTGCTAGAACAGTGTAAAGCAATCCTAAACAAATGTGTTTTTAGTCTTGATTTAAAGGAACTCAGGCTTTCCACACTTTAAAGACCTTTAAGCCTATATCAGTTTCACTCTTCCCAACAACCTCAATAAGTTGTTACATTCATGCTGATTATTCATTCTGCTCATCTCTGATTTTGCTGCTATTTCCAAATATCCATTACTGTAAAGATGTCCATATCTGTATATTTGTTACTTATTCTGTAGGCGCACAGCATTTATATTGTTAAAACACTTTATAATACAGTATTTCATTTGTTTATTTCTTAATTTTTCACTAGTATGTCATTCTTATACACTTTTCTAAAGGTCCATATTTAGGTGACCACTTTTGCTATAATCTATTTGCTGCTGTAAACACCAAAATGTCTCCATTGTGGGACAATAAACAGATTTTCTATTCTATTTCCGGTTGTACATTTTAAAAAGGGCAGGCCTAAACAATGGATGGATTTACAGCTATTAGTATTGCTGTAGGCTAGTCTAAATCCTAATGCAAAAACTCAACCTAAAATTCAGCAGCTCTCTCCTCCAGATCATTATGTTGTCATCTTTAAAAATGTGTCACGCCATGTGGGGATTCTCATAGGAAACAGTCTGAGGACCATTTGCTAATAAAAGTGAAACACGAGAGGTTAAAAAAAAAAAAAAATACCTTGAGTGATCTCATTTAACATTGGAAAATACCTACAGACACTCTTTTATCTCCCCTCCAGATGGGGACTTTTGTGTGCACACAATTGGAAAGGATCAGCTTTGTCCATGAGCAGTCAGCCAAAAATGTTTGCATTTAAGATTTCTTTCAGCGAAATTGGAAGGAGGTCAAAACAACTGAGTGGTTTAGATTAGAACAATCAAAACTGCCAAGCTGGTATATAATCACAGTAAATACCTGGATAGGACAGTAGACATGTTTTTAAATACCCCCATGAAATTTAAGAGTAATATGTTAAGAATCTGGCTTAAGAAACTAAATGCAAATACAGCAAAGGTTTAAATAAGCAGGCATGGGAATAGATTAATCAAAATTCATAAAAATAATGTAGGCTTGTTAGTTTTTAGGCACTAACAAAAATAATTGTTTATTTTTTCTATTTACAATGCACGCCTTCTTGTGGTTAAAGTGACTATTTCTGAGCAGACAGCGCCCTCTTCTGTTAGCGGGTCAAACTGAACATTTTTCCAACTATTTTAAAGAACATTTAGTGACTGTTGGACATGTAAGAATCACCTCTTTTGATCCCCTGTAGGTTTTTAGATAAACACTCCCTATGTGAGAAAACATGTCAATCTTAACAATGAGGTTTATCAATAAGAAGCCTTTTTTATTTTATCCAAATGATCAGTTTTTGGCAGTGCAAGGAGGCAAAAATCAGACTTTACTATAAAAATTTGGTTGTCACAGAAATATTGACTGGTTTCGCTCAAGAACTGAGCCTTACTGCATTTCATGGATGCGTCTCCTTTAAAAGACACAGCCTTAAGTTTGAAAACAGCAGAAAGAAAAGTATTGAGGTTTGTTTTCCTGCTGACAGCAGGGCTAAACATTGTCAGAGGGGGCAGAGAAGGCTGACTTTCACATGATTCAAAAGCTCTGGAATTCACTCCCATGAGTGCAGTCTCCATTCCAGCCAACCACTCTGGTTCACACAGACAAGACGTAAGAGTGGACAGGAGGAGGGGTTCCAGATTCCCCCAGATAACTGGCATTACACTGTGAAACTCATCTGCTGGCCATTCCTGTTTCAGATGACCCTGACAATACAATGACAGAAACAAGGAGAAGTGAAAAAACAGGTGTCTGTGTCTGCAAATCACATCCAGCAGGATGAGTGTGTGAAGGAATGTGGAGACTTGTTCAGCCTGTGTCGCTCCCAGTATAAACCAGGCCTTTTCCCAGACAGAAGGATTTATTTCTCCATTTAAAATTGAACAGGACACAGAGAGAGATTTAGGACTTAAGCCAAATTCGATTTAAAATAACAGCCACATATAAACATGGAAGGTTTCAATAATTTAGGAACAATGTATCAAAACATAAACACAAAGTCAAAGAGGATACAGATTAATAAATCTTTATAATGTAATGGTTTTCTTTTTATGTAATGTTCTTCATGCCCATGTGTTTAAAATATAGAGCAAATATGAGTCTGTAAAGTAAAAGCTTTTCAGGGTTTTCCACCCAAAGCAATTAATCAAATCCTCATGAGGTTTTATAAAGGTCCTGAAAGGGTAAATAAAAGATTTAACATATGATTATTTTACATAACTCTATTTAGTCAAAAAAAGAGCACGGGTCCTACATAAGTTACTTACTTCTCTATAAGAATGCTAATCTAAAAAGTAATTGCTGGTATTGCTTTACAGAATTCACCCAATCGTTAATAAGAAAAGCCTATTAATGGGCTCATAGTCCTCCTCGTGTTCCATAATCCAGAAACAGTGCCATCTACTGGTTATTTAGTGTCTCACAGCAACAATGAAAGATAATGCATTAAAATACATTTAAAAAATGTATAAAAATAAAAAAAAAAACCAGTTATTTATTCAGTCTTAGATTAAGATGTATGATAAGAATTTTGTCGACCACAGATCTGTTAAATTAATATTTTCAAAACGGTTAAGATAAAGGTTGAGTTAAAGCAATAGAATTCTCACATAAATTCGTCTTATCTATGGGTTTAACAGATGTACTTTGTTTTTTACAAACATTTCTAGAAATAAAGACATGGCAAAAAGAACACCAGGAAGTAACAGGTAGATTTAAATAATTTTAGAACCCAGAAATGAAAATATTATTAAAGCTGTAAAAAGGTAAAACTAGAGACAGTGGCATTTAATAGCAAAAATTATAATGTTTTTAAATCAAGGTAGAATAAATCTTTTTGAGTTTTTCGTGGAACGATGGTATTAAATTCCCACAATTAAATGGCACTAAAAGTCCAAGCTATATTTTTTATATCCACTTTTTACTTCTATTGATATTAAAGGTACACTATGCAACTGGTGTTGATTTACCAGTGAGGCTCCCTCCAGAGGGCGAAAGTAAAAGTGCACTGTCGTAAATATGCTCAGCTGTTCTCCTGGTTTCTCCGTCAAGCCAGGCGCGGTTGTTTTGAGCTTAGCAGCGAATGACTAATGCTGCGTTCACACTGGACGTAGCTGGCGCGACAGAAGCAGCGAGTTTACATGCAAAGTCAATGGTTGACGCGCGTCAAGGCGCAACAAAAGGTCCCGCTGCGCGTTTTGAGCACCAGGTGCAGCACGTCTGAGCAGCTGAAGCAGCGCATCCGGCGCGTTTAACGCAGGGAGAGAGACACAGCGCTGATGATCACTCCTCTTAAACAGTTTATTGACGCCTAAATTAACTTAAAATGCAGAAATCTGCCGGCAAAATATGCAGTTTGGATTATTTAGATGAAAAACACCTACCAGCTGCTGCGGTGAACCGCTGCTGATGAAGGGATCCATACTGTCGGCGCCCCGCTGGTATGTGGGGGTCTGAGCGGCTCCGACAGAAACAAAATATGGAAGGCAGGATAATAATCTGAATGAACTGACTGCACTGATTACGTTTTCAGGTGTATTTTCTCACTTAAACACATATTAAAACTACTTTATTCCCACTGATCACAGCAAATATAGCTGCAAGGCAGAGAAAGGATAGTGAAGCTCCGCCCAACGCGCGTCAGAGCCACTTTTGCACCGGGCAGCCAGAGCAGCAAAGCTGCTTCAGCCACACGTCAGAACTAAACTGGTACAAGCAGTAAAAATGAAGCAGCAGACGCGATTTTGCTGCTTTTGCTGCGTGAATGTAGCATAACTGCACAAGGATCGCCACTGTGCTAGCAACGAGAATGCTTTTAACTGGGGGGTGTAGCAGTTCTCGCCGTAAAGCAAGACTGACTCTCACGAGACTTCTGAGCCTGTGGGTGCGGGTCGGTGCTCCTGCAGTTGCAAGTGCAGTATTTCCCCCACAGACCACAGGCGGCCGAGAATACCTTTGTTCAACCTGAAATGACTCATTTAGTCATCCATAACGTTATGGAACACATTAATTAACTGAAAAATGTTGCATAGTGTCCCTTTAAGATTCCAAATGTAAAATCCCCATCCTCTATCTCTTAGGGTTTGGTTTGTCTTTATCATCATCATATCATCAAAAAAATATTGAAGGTGATTTAAAAAAATAAATCATTTACTGAAAATGTAAACAAAAAGAAGGAAAATATTTTTTGAAGTTTGTTTA